TCGGGTGATTTATTGCCTGGTTTAGACCCCCCTGGTGAAGTAACCTGCCGTTCTCTGGGAGCCTTTGGGGAAGCCAGCTCCGTACGCTGCTTTTCTAGAATGACGCCAGCTGTGCAGAGTTGCCCATTTTCATAAATGATTAACTTCGGAAAAGTTAAAGCGTAATTAGATTCCAAGATTCCCTCTCGCAGAACCCCAAAGCGCATATGAGACGGCTGTGGTACATGGTGGGGGGGACCGGGCGATCTCTCCGTGCTGTCAGGTGGCATCTGCCCTGCGGCCGATAGCCCTGGCGAATGGTTGTACTGCTGGAGGGAGGAATATTTCCAAGAGCTATGTGAAAAAGTCAAAATCAGACCTTCTGTTAACATTGTGCCTGCATAATAAACTGTTTTAATGGTTTTCCCTTTTAATTTTTAAGTTGCTCAAGAGAAGCCAGAGCAGATCCCGCTGGAGAACCGCTCCTGTGTCCTCATACGACGGGATCTGGTTGCTCTCCCAGCCAGTCTTATCAGTCAAATCGGATACCGTTGCCACCCAAAACTCTACTCGGAGGGAGATCCTGGAGAAAAACTTGAGCTGGTTGCAGGTAATGAGGGGGTAACTTCTCTTTGCTTGGGAACACCTGGGGATCGCTGATGTTTTCCTTTGCAAAATGGGTTCTTCATCTTGCGCCATCGCTGGAGTCGAGCATCTTGTGTGCCCTTGCTGTGTCTTTCTGGATTATTCATCGCCAATCATCTTTTTAAAAGTTCTGAGTTTCCTTTAATTTGCTGATAGAAAAATGTGTCATTAACAGGATTTATTCAATTGAATTAATTTAGCATTTTAATTGAATTCTCCAGCTTGTGTTCTTCCTGATTGGTGTGGGCTGCATCGCAATTGTGTTTTGATTTAGATGCACAGATCTGAAAAAAACCCAAACCAAAAACCCCATTGCATTATAAGATTTACAAAGCAATGGAGATGAAACTTGTGTCACCGAACAAGCTTTGAAAAAACAGTAAAAGTTTTTTTAAAAATTGGGGGTGTTCCTAAACGGTGAAATGCTGCAGTGGGAAGGAAGAGAGGTCATCAGTTTGGGTCCTTTCTTGTGTCTTTATTTTCAGTTTTGGGGGTATTTACAATATCAAGAGAATTCACTACTCTGTAAAGGATTTATGGCCAACCTGAGGTGGAAGATGGTGCTGTTTAGCTTTCAATGCTATTGGTGGTGTAGAGCTGGAGAAGGAGTGAAATGCGGTGGCCGTGGAAGGGTGGCCGTGCCAGCCTGCCGCCCGGCCGCCCCCAGCGCCGCACAGAAGACTGGACTGGGGTGTCCGGATCAAAATTCCAGTTTAAATAATTATATTCTGCTCCTATAAGTTACCCCCAGCTTCACTTTGCTGCGGTGGTCCTCTCAGCTTATAACCCGTGCTGTTGTGAAGCTTTTTCCCCTGGGCGCAGCTGTGTTTAGACGAAGCCATCATTGCACGACCGCCCGTACCTGCTGCCGGGCGGGGAGGGCTGATTCATACCTCTAAAGCCCTCGGTACCAAAAGGACGTGTGGTAGCGCAATCAATCCAAATCAGTTGTCCTTTCTTTCTGGTCATTTATCTCTTGGTGAGTAGCGTGATTTTATTTTCAGTCTGTAGAAGGAATCTGAATTTCAGGGGCTGCCCGGAAAGGTTTCCGTCCGATGGAGGATGGGTCTTGGATGGAAGGCGGGAGGAGAACGCACACGCTGTAACACAGCGTGCAACCACCAGTATTTATTTTGTATCTGGAATATTCATTTTGTACCCATTTACATTTTATGTGAGACTTCTTAAAACCATCAAGTGGTGCAGGTTATTTTCACAGTGAGAGCTGCAAATTGGCTCGAGGCAGCTCTGCTTGATTTACATTTTTCAATCTGGAAAAAAAGTAGATTAATATCTCTAACCGATAGTAGCTGCCTCGGTTATTTTTTATTTATTAAAGTGAAGTTACCCTGGATAGCGTCTGGTGTTCCCTCTGATGGCTTATCTCTTAAAACACCGCTGCTGAAGAACGCTAATTCCTGCCTCAAACCTGGTGAGACCTGGGGGCAGCTTGACCCCGGGGCACGCCGGAGCATCCCACAGCCCGAGTTTTCCTCCACTCTCCATTGGGACCGTTCTCCTTTTGTCTCCGATTTTTCATGCCCTAATATATTCCGCAAACTGGATCCTCTCGCTCCGAGAGGGTCTCCCCCCACCCCTGCGGTCAGCGTAACACAGCTGCCGGACAGACGGGGTGCACGGAGCACGGCGGGGAGCGGGACCGCTCGGACCTGGAGCGATGCTCGCTGGTTTTTGGGGCAGGACCGGCGGTCCTGGGGATGCTGCCGCCCGCCGGTCGGCGCTGTCTTCACTCGGGGGACATCAGGGACAATCATCTGTGGGCTTTCCTGGAAATCCAGGAGGTAATTTTATTTCTCCAGTAAGATGGTTTTATATCTTGAGAACAGAGCGTGTTCTGGATTCAGATATGACCCATTATTTAATCTTAATTAAAAGCAAATACCAAAACCCTCTTGTATGACAGTGCACTTGAAAAACAGGATAACCTCCCCGGCTAAGCCGATGCTGCGGCGGGAGCGGTTTGGTCTGTGTGAGCGATGTGCAAAGTAAAAGGGTTTGATACGAAATCTGCTGGAAAGCACTGCCAAACCCCTGGGTGTGTAAAGCAGCTTTGGCAGGGGCTCCTTTCTCTTCCGGAGAACATCCGTAAAGGCAGTCTATTTCGAAGTCAGCAGTTCCTGCGCATGAGAAGGAAAATTCCCTGCTCACCAGAAGTATCAAGAGGTGATGCGCTGGGATTTTTGGAAACAGATCTGGAGCGTAAGCGAGTACCCCTGCTGTGCTAGACAGGGTTTCTTCCTTTCTTTCTGGTTATATGTTCTGTCATCTTCCACTGGAGAAAAGAAAAGGCCAAAAGGATTGGGGTTTTCTTCCTTCAGAAAGAATAAATAATCTGATTTGTGCATACGAAGCCTTGCACTGTGTTTCTTTGCAGAAACACTACTTGAGTCTTTTCACTTGATTTCCATAGACTGCCTTTCTGTAATGACAAAATTAGGAATTATTATTAGCTGGGACTTGCCAAGACCCCGCAGGACTGCGGTAACAGTCCTTGCTGGGCTTTCCCAAAAATCCTGCCGTCCTCGTTGAGCTGCCGTAGCAGCACGTGAGGAACGCGCTCCCTCCTGCCTCACCCTGGTATCCCGACGCGGGAGGAGCGGTGCGGTGCCGGCTCGGAGGCGGTGCTGCCAACGAGGCTGTAATTCTGAGTTCTCCCTCTCCCACCCTTCCAGGCTCGGGGGTTTACATCACCCGGGGGCAGCTGATGAATTGCCACTTATGTGCCGGTGTCAAACACAAGGTCCTTCTGAGACGTCTTCTGGCCACCTTCTTTGATCGGTACGTCCTCTTGCTCTTTGCGCCCTCCCAAGGGATTCCGTTGATTTTCTGGTGTTTTAACCACGTTAATAGATAATGTACAATGAGTGCTTCATCCTCCATATATGCTGCACTGATTTCTGTGCTTTTTCTCAACGATGCTTGAACCTGAGCGCCAGGTTTTCCAGTTCCTCGCCTTAAAATCGTGTAACGTGGTGATCCCTCCGTGAGGACCTGGAGGGAAGAGGACGAGGCAGCGGCCGTCCTCTGGAGTCCCCGGTGTAAGGATGTTCCTTTGCCTTTCTTGCAGGAACACGCTTGCCAACAGCTGCGGAACTGGAATCCGGTCCTCCACGAGCGATCCCAGCAGGAAGCCCCTGGACAGCAGGGTTCTTAATGCCGTCAAATGTAAGGAGAGAGATTTACTGCTGCTCTGTTGGAACAGCATGCCGAGAGCAAAGCCGAAACCTAAGCAGGGAAGGCCATCTCTCTTGCATAATATGGGAACTATGTGTGGTCAAATTAGGTTATAGGCAAATTAATTTATTTTTATTTTGCATCATTTTTGGGAGGGGCTGAGGTGAATATTTTTTTTTTATTTGTTTGGAAGTATCTTAATATAAAACATGATTGCTACTTGGCTGTTTTGCTATGTTTTAAAGCACTAATTTCGCAGTTAATAATTATTTTATTGATAGGTGCTCTAAGAAGGAAACCAAAATTATGGTTTTGGCAACATTCAGAGCATGATACCGCTGAAACAGGTCATCCCTGTGTGTTGGCTGCGATGCCCCTGGGCTCCAGCTCGCATTGGGGTTGTTCCGTGTGCAGGGTGCGTGGCTCTGCCCAATCCCGGGGTGTGCGGGAGCGGAGCGTCCGGCTCCACTCCAGCTCCCAGAGATGTCCCCAGTGCATCTCTCGGAGACGCTGGCCCTGCCGTGCCCTGGGCTTTTTGGGGCCGCTGGTCTTCAGCAATGAATGGGGGATCCACCGGCTGCTTCAGCCCTGGCCGCGCGGGGAGATCTCGCTGGCAGCCTTTCTGTTCATTTTCAGCCTATTTCCTTGAATATATTTTGTAGGCTTTTTTTTTTTTTTTTAAAAAAAAAAAAAAAGCGAAAAATGGGGGCCCTCCGGCAAACAAGTGAAATAAGTGCCTTTTTAAAAAGATTGTGTAAAGCAACGGGATCTTTTGTTTTTAACGCCTTAACTACACGCTCAGCTCTGCACCGTGCCGCGGGGCTCGGCGCGTGGGTCGGACTGTCTGCGGAGCCGCTGAGCTCTGCCTCGGAGCTGCGCGTACAACAGGGACAGCGCTTTATAACGCCCCTTCGGCGGTCCCGCGGGGAAGATGCCCTGCGTTTGTGTGACTACGCAGCACCCCGAATTTAGCCAGGGCTGGGGCGAGCAGGGCTGCTCGCGTCACTGGCCGTGCTGGTGCCCAGCGCCCGGCGTTTGTACAAGAAAAGGAGAGTTTTGTTACTTCCGTCAAGGTGGTTTAATCATTTATGGCAGGCGCCAGAAAGAAATGGTTAAATATTTGGCTCTTGCCCTTGAATACAAGGAACGTGCTGGGGGACAAAAGGTGCCTGCCGGTGGGTGAGGGGTGGAGGAAACCCCCGTGGGTCGGTGCAGCGCTGCCCCTTTACCGCGGGCTCGATAGAGAGTGGAAAGCAACGCGGTCCCTCACCCTCGCTGCATTCTGGATGGTGAATCTTTATGTAAATGTTATTGCGCTGGAAAATGAAACTCTTAAGCAATTTTTTTTTTTTTATTGTTTTTGAGATTTGGAAGATAAATCTTTCCTCTCCCTAATTGTTGCTGTGCTGCTGAACTCCAGGGGCCTTCCAGCCACCCTCTGAGATCTGTAGCACGTGGAGAAAAGGGATAAGGTGGCCGATGTTTGATACATAGACAAAATCACCAGCCCGTGCTGGTGGTGCTCACCCGTAGCTTGTGCGTGGTGGCTCCTCGGTAGCAGCTGAGCCCTGCAGAGCCCTGGGGTGGCACCTTCCAGCCCTGGTCCTTGCTGGGGCTTGCAAAGAGTTTCAGAGGTTGAAAAGGCATCGCTGTGAAGTGACAGTGCCTAGAACACGCTGTCATGTCTCAGGACATAAGATGACTCCGTACTGCCTGAATTTTACCCTGTCCACAAGCTTTAGTTGGTAGTTGCTCACCGTGGCAGTTCCTTGGACGTTGCTCCATACCCCCAGGTGCTTGGTCCCCGCGGAGGAGCAGGGCTGCAGCGGGGCTTCTGCAGGTGACATGCCAGCTGATGCGCTGGTGGTGGGACACTGGAGCAGCCGTGCTGGCCGGGCCGGTGGTCCCTGCAGTGCTGGTTGGCCCCGTGGTGGCCGGCACGAGGCGTGGGACAGGCAGAGGACAGTCGTTCGGGCAATCTCCTCTGCTCGGTCAAGAGCAGCTCTTGACGGTTTCCAGCGCCGCGGCTGTGCCTGCGCCGCTGTGGCTTTAAGAGCCATTCATGGATCTGCTGTTGAGGAGTTTGTGTTGACCTTTTCTGTGTCCATCTCTGCTTTCGGCCATGCCAGCGTGCGGTGGCCGTGGCTGGGTCCCTCAGGCAGAGCCCGATCCCGCTGGGGCTCGCCGGGCCCCTGGGCAACGAGTGCTCCTTCTCCAGCCCCCTTCCCCGTGCCGTCCGGGGGGTTTATGCCTTCTGGTTTTCTCTCTTCTTGGTTGTGTCTGTCTTGAGCTGAGGAGTCCTTGTCCGTAAGCCTGTCCTTGCGAGAGCTCTGGCCCACGGGTGAACCTCCCCTCCGTGGCAGCGGCCCGCGCTGAGCCTCGCGGCAGGTCTCCAGGCCGGCGCGGAGGCTGCGATCACGCAGCCGCCTTTCTGTCTCTGAATCCTCAGCTCTGTGTATCCCTGTCTTTGCAGTGTATTGTCAGAATTTTGCCCCGAGCTTTAAGGAAAGCGAGATGAATGTTATAGCAGCCGATATGTGCACCAACGCCCGCCGGGTCCGCAAGCGCTGGCTGCCGAAGATTAAGTCCATGCTGCCGGAGGGGATGGAGATGTACCGCACGGTCATGGGCTCCACCACAAACAGTGTCCCCCTGGATCCTGAATTCCAGCCCAACACTGCTCAGGTCTTTGAGCAGCGAATCTATGCAGAAAGGAGGAGCGATTCGGGAACTATAGTAGCCTTGAGAACTAACACGGTGAACGTAGAGCTAAGCAACGGATCCAACCAGTCCTTCGAACAGAGCGAGGATGCCGAAGGGGCTGGCTCTGTGATACAGGAGGCAGCTGCCACAGATGCTATGGCATCGGATACCCAAAGCACTCCGCAACCTTTTGAACAAGGTTCGGGCTCCTCCAGCCGGCCCGAAACTCCCGTGAGAAGACAAGATGGTACTTACGGAGGGACTTTATAAAGAGAGCAAATGTTTCGTGACCTATAAGGGATCTGTAATACTAAAGCTGCTTGCATGCATTACTAATACAAAACAAAAAATGTGATCAAGCCACTTACCTACTGAACTGCTACTGTTGCCTGAAAAAAATGTGATTTTTATTCTGCTTGTATTTAAAATTTATGAAGGAAATAATCGCATTCGTTATACTGTAAACGACTAGGTCTGTGGCGACCTACTTAAAAAAAAATATTGGGCTCCTTTTTTGATATTCCTGAGGTTAGTCTCTAAGATTGTAGCTTTTTTCTTTTTTGTTTTCCTTTTCTTTTTTTTTT